CTCGCTCTCTCACTCACTCTCTCTCTCTCTTTCTCCCTTCCCCTCTCTGCTGGGTGATGTCGTTTGTATCAGCCGGAGGTTGTACACCATATCGACAACATCTCGGTACAGCAGTATGCAAGTGCTGGTCTCACCAGGAGCTGACCGCCTGGTCTTGGAAATGTCAATGGGCGTTTAGCCTTGCAGGAGCCAAGGTGGCATCGACTTGCTGGCCAAGCTTCTGCTTCTGGCACCGAGGCCTTGCGCTTTACATGCTGCTGCTCTGGGGGTGGGTGCGGCGGTGATGCTTGCTCGAAGAGGCACTTTGTAGAACTTCCGAATGAGCCGTGGCTTAAAGAACTTTTCGAAGCTTGGCAGGGATGGTCGTCATGAGAGCAGAGCGAGCAGAGCGAGCAGAGCAGTGTTTCCGTGGCTGAGGAGAAGTATGGGACTGCTCGAGGCATCCTGGAGGCTGCCGCCCAGGCAAGTGGGCTAAAATGGTCCTTTCGAGGCCGGGGCCGAAGGGCCGAAGAGCCAAAGCTGCCGAAGCTGTGCTTCCTTGTCAGATGATAAGCCCAGCCGCCCAGGCCCTATCTTCACAGCCGAATGGTTTGGACCTCGGGACACTTGGGTGCTCGAAGTGGAGGCAGGGGAGTTGTGGGTAACTGATCGGCACTGCTTTTGCTATGGGCCAGGATGGAATGCCTGAGCTGGATATTCAGCTTTGAGCCTGGATGTCGCCTTGTATTTGATTCCGATTCTATGGGAAGACGGAGATTTCCGATACGTCAGGTCGTGTCCCTTTCCGCTGCTTTATCGGGGAAATGAGATGGATGCCGCCCTGGATGCTCCAGAGCCAGAGCACGCTTCTCCATTTCAACACGCTGCTCGGCTCAGTTTCAAGAGCATAAGTGTTGGGACAGAGAGCTTTTGGGAGGCGCATGCGCAATGATTTGTTCATCCTGGCGTTTGCAAGTCTAAATTGAATTCTTTTCGAGACCAAACTCCCTGGCTGGTCCTCTGTGTTCCTCTCTGCGCGCGGAAGGTGGTGTGATTGGACATGAGGCCATGAACTCTGATTTGAAATGGCTTTGCACTGCGGTGGTACCTCAGACCTGGCTCTGTAGGATCAACCTTTCTTTATTGCATTCTCAGATCCCGCTTTTACGCCTCAAAAGCATGGGGCCTGATGTCCACGAGCTGCTCTTCAGTGCTGTAAGAGGTCGACGGCTGGACTTTGCCGGGTGAAGATAATCTGTGACAGGGCTGCAGTGGCGGCTGCAGCGGAGAGAAGTGCGACAGCTTGCGCTGCCCTCCGAAGCTTTGAGGCCGCTGTCCATGAAGCTGGCCGGTGACGAGGGCCTTCTATCACTTCCTGGCGGAGCCGTGTCGGGCTGCGAGAACCTTTCGGGCATGCTGTGGCGAAGCTGCACGGACAATGGCATGCGTATGAGAAGATTTGCTTTGCGTGCCTCATATCCAACAGGCTGGATCCTGCGCTTTATGCCGCTACCGCTGAGCCATCAGTGGAGACTTCAGACATCGCTGTCGCAGCAGCCCTGAAGGCAGCTCCGACAGCTCGCCCCTAAGCAAATTGCCGCTGACCCGATGGAGTCGTCTCTGCACATGCAGTCAAACAGTTCCTTCCGAGGCACTGCTGTTGGCCCACCTCACCTTGCGTGAAGCAGTTGCTGAGGCTGAGGTGAAACTCAACAAGCATCTTGTTTTCCGTTCAGTCCACTGGTGTTCAACTGTCGCCGTGCCAGGATGCTCTTGCTGAAGTGCGGCGGGCTGCACCACCTGAGGCTGTTGTCCAGGCGAAGTCATAAGTTTAAAGCCTTTGCCCTGCTTCCGACTGGACATCGTGAAGCCTCTTCGGCACCAGCTGTCACTCTGGCGAGATGTGCCCTTTTCGAGGAAATTCGGAGAGATGCGCCCGCTAGACGTCCCATGGGTTATGCGCTGTGCGGCATGCCAGTTCCGCTTGTTCAGATGCCAAGCTAAATACCAGCAGAATACTTGACAAAAAGCTGCTGTCAACGTGCTTGACACTGGAGATGGTTGAGACCTCCAGGTTGGTTGGGGTTTCTTTGGCCGAGGCTCGCACAAGAAGCGTGTGCCCTGCGGACCAAAGCCAACAGCTTCGAGGCGGCTTCGCTTAGCCTTGGAGAGAAACGTAGGACTCCCAGGGCGCGCTCGAGTCATGCGAGGCCCGTCCGTGCCCGAGCCCGCAAGACCGGCGAGGCGGGACTACGCTAGGATGTCAAATTGTAACCGCTGCTCTTGTGCTGCTCATTCTCGGGGGTCGTTGGAACCCTGTGAGATGGTCACCACGATTTTCATGACTACCAGGATAACTTCCACGTGACGATTGTGCATTGAAATTCTCACCTTCGTAGTGTGAGAATTTTGATATTAGAGAGAGAGTATTGTGAGCATTTTGTCATTGTCACTGCAGAGCAAGTATAGTGTATTCAGAAGTCTTGCATGAAGGCTTGTATGCTAAGTGACGATGTTGGCGCCATGTTGACATGGCCTTTCGAATGTCAGAGTGTTATGATAGTGGTTTGACAACGACGAAAACTCATGCTACCCAGCATCGCAGCATTGCCCTTGTTCTTCAGCTTTAGCTTTCCTGCCCATGTGCATGTGTGGGCTGGAGCTTTGGAATCCCAGCTACGGGTTGCTAGATGTCCTGTGCCGTTGGTGGAGAGGGACAAGAAGATCTAGAATGCCTGCAAAGGCCGTGGCAAAGGGCTTAGGCATTCTTGATTCCAATGCAACAGGAGGTCAAACAGATCGTGGAGTGCGCCGAAAGAGCCCAATGCATGAAAGAAGCCAGGTGTTGTTGCTATACTGCGACGTCGACTATGATGGCAACGACGACTTACTAGTACATACCTAGTCCTGTTACGTCCCAGTGCTAGTGCTAAAAGAACCACTACTACGACGACGACCACGACTACTGCTACTACTACTGCCATTGTTGCTGCAACTGCCACTGCCGCGGCCACTGCCGCTGCCTTTGCCGCTGCCTTTGCTGCTGCCTTTGCCGCTGCCGCCGCCCTGCGGCCACTGCAACTGCCACTGCCACTGTTGTTGCAACTGCCACTGTGTCCGCTGCCTCTGCCTCTGCCGCTGCCGCTGCCGCCGCCGCTGCCACTGCCACTGCCACTGCCCCTGCCACTGCCACTGCCACTGCCACTGCCACTGCCACTGCCACTGCCACCGCCGCCACAACCACCACCACAACCACCACAACCACCACAACCACCGCCGCCGCCGCCACCACCACCAACACCACCAGCAGCAGCAGCAGCAGCAGCAGGACTGCAGATGTTGCATGTTTGAGTCTGTGTTGTCGTCTGCTCGCATCAGGGCTTGGGCGCTTGCGAGTATCCTGGATCTCTGTTTTGGCGCTACTCAGTGGGCTCGGTCGTCCTGTAGTCCCGTAGTCCCGTCTCTCTCCAGTCTGCTGGGACCCTTGTCGCATGGTCGGAGGGCCCCCGTTCTCCGCTGTTTCTCCGGTTGGTCCTCTGGTGGGCACCCTGTGCTGGAATCTGGGCCAGCGGTTCGCCATGACTACACGCATGGAGAGATCGTTCTGCTCTCTTGCAATCTCGCCACCATGTGGAGCTTCATGCATGCATCTTTTCACTGTCACCAACATCGATGCCACAGAGTCACTCAGGACTACATAGCATAGCATAGCATAGCAGGCATCTCCGACAAAGCTCAGCCAACCCAAACCACTCCCTGGTGAGCCCTAGTGCTATCCTTACCCTCCAGCCCGGAGGCCTTCTACGCTGAAGTCAAGGTTTTTGTCCCTTACGAAACAAAACCCCGCAGTCTGCAATGGCTACACGTTGGGTCAACCATGTATCATCGCGCAATGCCGCATGTAAACATGCATCCAGAACCGGAGCCAACGATGAGTGCTTCCCAGAGCCTGCGCAGATCCCTAAACCCTTTCTGACAAAGATACCCCATCCACGAAACATTCTGTAGACTTGCAAAGGGGCCTCGAGGGCTTACTATCCCGGAAACCGCAATCGTTAGGGGAACCCCGGAGCAGCCGCATCCGGCGACATCTTTAGACGGGGCAGTTGTCGGAACAGCCACCACAGCCGACTCATCTGGCAGGAAACCTCTGAAGCAGCTTCACAATCACATATGCTCACGCACACAGTATTTCAACTAGTCTGGCGAGTCTGAAGCCCACCGAATATCATCAGATTCGGTGCAGGAAGGTGCTCGACAAGCCGGAGCATTTGCCGTGCCACTTGCAAGGTGCAACTCTGTGTTGGTTTGCTGATATACATTAGCCATGCGATTGCGTGCTACCACGTTCACTGTGTGCCTGCAGCTATTAGAGCAATCATCAAGCTTTGCTAGAAGCACTGCCCCTGTGGAATCATGGTGCCAGCTTCTACGTGACGCTCAGGGGCTCACGAAAATTCCAGGCATCACAGCCACGGAAGCAGCTTCGCTCCGTTCGTAGCTGTGATGCCTGGGAACAATTTCCAATGCTGCAAAGTGGCAGTATGCAAAGAAGTATGGCGATCGCATGCAGCTCTGCCCTGCTGACGTCGAGTCTGTGCTCTTACTGCAATGCCCTACCCGGGTGTCGGATGCGCCAGTCTGATGCGAAACCCTGCAGCAGATGCGTGATTCCTAGCGACAGGAACATGCGCTGCACGGCCAGATGCAACGCCAGAATGCTCATTTCTCTGCTGGAGCGAGCTTTACCACATGCCAGCTCTTCATGCTTTAGAGAAGCCTCTGGATGAGCATTGAAGAAATACTGTAATCAGCGAAGTGTCGCGATTGCTGTTAGGCCTAGCAGCATTCGTACTTGCGATGTGGGTAGTCACTTGAGCAATAGCGTTGATCCCGCTTGGCGGTAAGTTCGGGCAAGAGCTCGGGCCTGGTCGCGGATTGCCGGGTCTTGTACATCGCGACGGTGGCTTTCTAGCCGAAACATGTAAGCAGAGTGAAGCAGCGACTGAGTTGCTGAGTCGCTACTTTTGTGGCGATGTGGTTACGCTTTCCACAGCACAGGTCCTTCAAAGAGTTGGTGGGAAGCCACCTGCAGAAAGTTCAGCGGGGCACCTGGACCACAAGCGAAGCACAAGCCAATGGCCGAGCGCCGCCGAGCGCTTCCCCTTTCACGAGGTGCGATGCGCGGGACGAGTTTACCAACGCGTCTCAGGAAGAGCAGGCAACGGCTTGACTTCAACCGCCTTCTGCCGTTTGGTGCGAGCTTGACCCGACGAGGTTCTGCATATACAGGAAGAGTGGGAACCTTTCCTGAGCAAGGTGTTTGCATTGCAGCGGCCCGAGTTTGAGGTGAGATGGCTGCAGATGTTACAGCTGCAGCATCCCCCCTTTGTTCAGGTACTCTGAACATGGATTGAGGGCAAAGCCGCAGCATGAGGCACCGGCCACCTCGGGTCACATTTCGCAAAGAAATCGGGCAAAGCATCGGATTTTGCAGGTGCATCTGCAGATGGGCGAGGAGTGCTCGGGTATTGTTCTGTGTCGCTTCAGCCCCGCCTGATGGATAGTGGTGAATGTGCTTGGGCAAGTGCTGGCTTGAGCTGCTTGTGGTCGATTGTTGAATCCGTTTTGGTCCCGTTCTCTTGCGGTTTTGGCACCTCGATCGTCTAGTTGGGGAGGCGTTTGGTACAGGCGTTTGAGTGGCTTCTGACCATGATGCATTGACCTGTACACGCCTACTCGACGATTTTCCCAGGGGCTAGTCAGGTACCACGTACCACACGCTTGACTGCTCCCGCAAGGATTCGCTCATTTGCCTCCTTGCTGATGCTGCGCTACTAGGCATCGAAAAAGTCGTGTGAGAGACTCTTCACAACATGGGAAATGTCAACAGGGTTCGTGGCTGGCACAGACTTCTGTAGCATGATGAAATATATGGTCTCTACAGTACTGCGCTGAGCGATCCTTCTGCATTCGGTAGGTGCGACACTACCGGCTGATACTGCAAGGCCGGTCCGACGTGCTTCGTTTTTTTCGAAAGGTGCACCCTGAGTTGGCTTCACACGTGCCAGGGGCGTGTACCGCAAGCTTACGCACCGACGACATTTTCAATCGGTCCACGCGAACTTCTGCTTTAGAGGTCAGGCAGAGGCTCGGGTGCTCAGAGTAGCGCGGGTCTTGCTGAAGCGGCCCACACAAGTGATATCTCAAGAGTCATCGCTTGGCACCCGCAGCCTCTGATTCGTCGCTTGAGGTGCGACGCCGGCAGCGGTGTCAGAAGCAGAAGAGGAATGCCTCCATGCCGCCGGTCATCAAGGCCGGGGCAGGGTGGCCAGGACGAGGCGTGGTGTGAGCCGCGATGTTCTTTCTGACACCAGGGCATACCGCCTTCTTCTGCGTCGCTGCGCGTTCCGCTTGGGTCTCAACACTAGGAGGACAAGGACAAGGATGCAACAAACCTGGAACTGCGAGGCCCGCTGAGAAGGAGGAGGCTCTTCACTTCGAGGATTTTCAAGAGGTGTGCCTTCTAGCTGTCTGCATCTCAGAGCATCTGCTCAGCACTGTTACCGGTCGGTTCGTGTCGTGCCCAGAGTCTGCTGTCACGGAGGCCATGTACCTCTATCCCAATCCGGTGGTACCGCTGCCTGAAAGAGTCCTCGACCCAGAGCAGAGATCATCTCTGGGACTCCGGGAGCATCTCAGCGATTCGTGTGGCCAGTACCAGCAATTGCTGATGGACATGCTCGAGGGCCTGAAAAATCGTCGCCCTGGCATGCTTCAGCCCACGCACGCTTTGCTAGGGATTTTATGATGTTAAATGCTCGTGTCATTGTCATGTTGCACAGTTCCTTGAGCTGCTGAGCGCCGTCTTCCCGAGTGACTGAAAACCAAGGGCCATATTGCAGAACAGCACTTCATTCTCTTGTCAAATCGCCTACTTGGGTGGGCCTCATGAAGCAAACATTGTCCATGTCTTTCGGCATCCAACTTGCACAGCTGCGTCTTCGAGACTAGCGTGGAGCCAGCGTGGCCCCTTCCAACCGGCTCTGTTTCAGTTCACTGTTTTCCTGCTGTCTTCGTTATCAGCTTGTCCACATTTCCACAGCTGCATGGTCTGCAGCCAGGCATGGAGCCAAGCGGGCTTGCCGAGGAGCCCTCCCTGGACCAGTTGGCCGTGCAGGCTCGCGGCTCGATGCACCGACAAAGAGCAAGCAGTTCACAGTCACGCTCGAGTGAGGCACATGGTGTCGAAGAGTGGGATGCGAAATCAAGGTGCGCGTTTTTCGTGCGAGTTCAGAATCTGGTGCACCACATTGATTTGCAGAAACAGCTCGAGCGAAACTCCTCAAGTTATCCAAGATCTCAGAGCTGAGAAATACATTTGCTGAGAGCTGGCTTCGCCTGGGCATGCCAATGTCGTACTAGTTTACTAGTGCGGATCTTGAGAGACTGCTCGCGCCTTCCAACCGCCTGACATCTGCGACGGCTCTGGCAAGTAACCGCAATCTTTGACGCTGAGTGTTACGGGAATCATCGAGTATCTGCTTAAGCATTGTAGTGCAGGTCTTTCAAAGACTTGCAGGAAGGACTGCAGGCCAGTGTGCAGCCGCACTGTCCGGAGATTGCGCGTTGCCGCTGTTTCGGAGCCAGGCTTCGGCGGAATCTCCGGATGCCGCCTGGAGTCGAAAAACGAGACTCGAAGGAAAAGGTACCCTCAAAGTCCAGAGGAGTTCTGACAAGGCTCAGCATTGACTCTGAAGCACAAGGCACAGGGCATGAAGTTTCTGGCTTGTCCAGGACTGGCAAACGCCGGCTGTCAGGAGAGGGGACACACACTCGCAACGTCCGTTTGTCACAGGGGCAAGAGGCAATGTCCTCGCGAGGAGAGCCTCCAGTGCACCCCCAACGATCAGCGTGCAGAGCAAGTTTCAAAAGACCCTGCAGACGGCCGGTCACGTCATGTACAAACACTGTCCAGTTCGCCTGCACCATGGCGTGCAGTGCTGGGAGGCCTTTGGAGCACCGGAGACCCGGGTGTCCGTGCGCCACGCTGTTGTTGCAGCATGTTGCCGGCTCTTGCACTTTACAAAGCATCCCCGCGCCTTGAGGCTTTGACGTCCATCAAGATCACTGCAGGCAGCGTGTGGGGCCGCGGGATGTGTAAGTCAGCTGTTCTTGTGTGAGGCTCTTTAGAAGGGCTGGGCCTGCCGAATGGGTCGAAGTTGGTGTCGCACTGTCCTCGGATTCCAGTACCCGCGACAAGAAGAGCACTTTCGACAACTCCTGTGACTGCAGGGTTCTGGCTTTGCTAAAAGCCTCCAAGCGCTTGGGCCTTCAGCTGGATGCGACGGCCTCGGAGTGGAACGCAGCCTCTGACAAAAGATTGCCGGAAAAAACGAAAGGCTGCCGACGTCAAGAAGCGACGATCCGAGATCGGGAGGGAGCCCGCGGCCGAGCCATGCTTTGACAAAGTCCTGTTCCGCAAGCTCGGGGCAGTCTGCGTGTCCGTTCAGGGCGATGCACAGGCGACGGTCCTCTGCCATGGTCAAGGCAGCACGGCCTTGTGTGGATTGCCACGTTTTCGACAAGCCAAGACAACAACGCATTTCGTGCTGCATTTGGTGCCTGATGTTCCTGGAGCTGAGGCACCTCCACGTGCACCTTGCATTGCAGCTGTGTTTTGTTGTAGCAAGTCTCGATAGGTCAAGTTCATGGCAGACCGCCGGCCTGGACGCGCAAGCATGCTCAACAGTTTGCTGCCAAGTGAGAGCCCACAGCCGAGCCGAGCTACCAGCCGAAACTCTAGCCGACCGGATTCGCCGTAGGATGTGCCTTGTGCAGAAAGATATGCACAAACCCAGATTGTACATACGCTGGGCCCCGGCTTTCAGCAACAACATATGTCTGGGCGATTGTTTTGCAGCTGAAATGTGGCTGCGAGACCAGGCAAACCATGAGATGTCGGCACAATCAACCAAACCTGCTCTGAATTGTAGCTGTCCTTGCCTTGAGTACGTGACCGTCCGGTGTGGTTGTGATGCAATGAACCGAAAGATGCACCACAGATCGAGCAAGTGCGGCAGTCGAAGCATCTCGGATGAGCAGCCTAGTTGGCTCATGGTGGAGGTCTTGAAATCCCCAGTTACAGGGGCAGGTCCTCTCTGTAGGCCTGCTGGGGATGGTGTTACGATCTGGTTACAGTTGAGCAATTTCTTTAACATCTGCAAGGCCGCATGGCGGTGCTCGCCATCGAAGGGCACAAGAAGCTCGAGGCCGCACAGCAGGCGCGTAGATGCAAGCACCTGCCTCCAACAGTTTCTGTTGGTGCAGTCCGCCCTGGCAGGAACTTTACGATGCCTTCAGTGCCTGCTTTAAGACGGCCAGGGGCTTTCCGGCCTGAGGGCAGGACAAGCAGAAAGGAGTAGGGCAGTTTTGAGTCGAGCAGGTCGTTCGAATGATGTTGGCCAAGGTCAATGGCAGAAGTGTCGAGACATGGCAGCCACATGAGACAATCATGCTTTGTCGGCAGCCCAGACAATTTCGCCGGCCTACTTGATGTCGCTCGATTTGTCCGTCTTACTAGGCAATGACACGACATTCTTCGATTTGACAGGCCGGGCCTTGCTTCTCTAGATCTCGTTGCACCTGCATTGAGCACAGCATGCGATCTCCGGACAACTGGCTTCCGCAGCTTCGAGACCCCTGTCGCACTCTAGCATTCAAGCCACAGAGAGCAAGAGATGAACGATGCCGGCCATGAGGATGGAATCTTGTGACCACAGATTCCAGGAATGGTGTCAAGACCCCGACGTGCACAGAAAAGCAGGGTCGTTGCCAATGCTGCGCCTCACGACTTACGTTGGACACCATGTCAGTCGGCGCTCGGCGACCTTGCTGCAAATGTCAATCCGAGTGGCCAGAGGCGCTTTTGCAGGGCGATGCACATGCACCAGGCGAGAATGCTTGCCACTGGCATTACCTCCGACCCCACGGTGTTCCGAATTCTGGCGCCGACGGCCATCTTGGGATATGGGTTTCCTGAAGCCGCTTGGCTAAGAGCAGGGAAGGACCAGAGCCGGCATTGGCGCCAACTGCAGAGGCTCCTTTCGATGTGGCGGTGCGTGAGCAGCTTAGCCGGCACCGGCCTTGGCTGGTTCTGAGCGGGGCATGAGCAATGAAGGCGAGCATGCCTTCAATCTCATTGCGGTAGATGCCGGCTCCATCGCAGCTCAGATAAAGCTTTCTGAGTGAAACGGAGTAGGTCTTGCAAGTCTGTTGAAGTCTTTTGGGCCAGACCCGGAGTGAGTGAGGATCCGGGACCTTACTACCTGGCATCTCGCTCATCGTTCACATCGCTAGATCATGTCCTGCGACGCTTGCTCGAGCCATAGGGATGGGCATGATGGGGTGGCTGCAGCTTGCAGAGCTGAGTTCTTGGCTTCAGCTTGAAAGGAGACCTTCGTCTGATGCTTCAGGGTGTCCGCCAGCAGGACCTTGCCGCACGTACTGGTAGCTTTTCTGAGCCTGGCGATCGTTGCACGTCGTGAGGCAAGTATGGGGCAGCGCTGCAAGCTGATCGTGGGCTCAGCTGGGGGCTGTGGCACCAACAACCAGGCGATGACCACGTCAAGCAGCTGTCGCCGTGAGAAAGAATTCTGGGCTTAGCCGTGCGGAGGTTGAGCTGCTTGCTCGCGAAGCTCGGAGGATGATGGCAGAGCCTGGGCCTCGAAGAAGGGAGGTCAAAGCCCCAAAGCCTCTGCGCCGAGGATAGGCCTGGTCGCTCCAATAGCGACAGCAAAGGTCTCAGAGAAGCAGAGCGAAGCTGAGGGACCTGGTGCCCCCTGTGACACGCCAAGCCTCTGAGGTCCAGAGTGAGCTGCAAGCTGTGCAGCTGGCCGGGCGACAGCTGACACCTCTGGGCCTTATGCCTGCCATTGGCACAGATGCCTTGGAAGGCCGCGTGCGAAAGCAGGAAGTCTGCAGAACGTTTCACTGCCCGCTTGCTCTCGGTTTCTATCCAGCAAGGCTCGGTGATCGTGGCGCAGATGGGTCTGGAGCCCATCATGTCGGCGCTGGGACATGCTGACATAGTGCATCCTGGCTGAGCAAAACGCAAGGAGATCATGAGAACCTTTCGCAACTTTTCACCAAGGCTGTGTGGACGTGCTTATGACCCTGCTGTCTTTGCTGCTGAGCCCATACGATGCGGATTTCCTGCTTCAGCCGCGCTGCACGCCGCCAAAGTGCTCGAGTGCGGCGCAATTGCAACCGAATCTGGGAAGCACTCGTGAATGTGTTATGCTCGTGAACATAAGCGAATCTGTGGAGTTCCGCAAGGCTGTTGTGTGCTGCTTTGAGGTGCCTGGAAGTGGCAGCGACTGCCTCGTTGCAGAACTGGACAGAGGCCAGGCAACAGCAAGGTTCTGGGCGCCGAACAGGAAGAGACAAGCCACAGCTCTGAGTGTCGCTGCGCACACTCTCTACGAGAAGAGCCACCCTCATCTCTTCGGCTTGCCTGGTGGTGTATTGAGCACCAAGCACGCGGTCTTCAAGCAGCGCGGCCGGGTTGTGGAAGTGGAGGGCACGAAGCTCACAAGGGTGCCACCCGCAGTGAAGCTGGAAGGCCGCTGACTTTGCTTGTTGACAAGTTGAGGCTTCGTTCGTGTATACTCCAGTGTGTTTCTATCACTCTTTCAAGTCACCTTCTTCTTGGCATCTCCCAAGGAGCTAGGGTGCGTGGGTTCCGCACAGTTGCCATTGACTTCCTTCCCGGCACGGCGGATGTGGAACCATCCGATAGCACGATGGTGTACGGGAGGAACGGTGTCGAGGATTCCTGGGTCAACTCTGGTGAAGAGCTCGGTATTCTGGTCACCGTTTCTGGAGGGGGCATCGAAAGGAACAGATCACATTTGGCCCTCCTCCGTGCCACGTTGCTGCACTGGGGCTTTGATGGCCGGAAAGCCACGGCTGGGAACTTGGCATTTCCATTCTCACCATCCGACCTTCAATTTGGTGACGAGGGAGTTCTGACAATTTGTGGCACAAGAGATCCGAGCTTTATCTCACGGTGGCAAGAGATTCTAAAGGAGGTGGAAGACTACGTCCAGAGCCTCTCATGCCAAGAGGGCCTGACTGTTCGCTTCGTTGCTGCGGGTCTGCAGGGTCAGCATCTTCTTCAGTGCCGCGAGGTTGTTGCAAGCACTGCAGCAGCAGCACGCACGCAGCTTCAAGCAGATCCAAGAGCGATCGAAAGCTGGCTGTGCCATGGAAGCGTTGCAGCCGCAAGGTGCCGAGATTCATGATGTTTTGTGTGCCGAACAATTCTTTGTCGTAGCAAGACTATGCCATAAGGACTACACAGTCCATCATCTGCTCGATCTAGACGAGAAGCTCTTGACCCTCTGCGGCAATGCGTCAAGTCCTGACATGCCGGAGACAGCTGCAGCAGAACAGCAAGATGAACCAAGGCGCGATCTCTTCCCAATCCGTGTACTGCACAGCGATGGCTCAGAAGAGGATTGACGGAATCTTTGCATTAAGGGAAGGAACAGCACCTTTTCTACAGGATGTGGAGGCAACCCTGTTGCCTTGGGATGCTCCTCCGACTGCTTCGTCGGCAGAGGTTTCGGAAGTTTCTTGTATCATTGTTCGGCGCGCTTCAACATTGACGGCCCAGGCATACCAAGACTGGGAGTCTTCTGCGAAGCCTTCAGGGTGGCGCCTATCGCTTGCACCATAGGCAGTTCAGAGGTGAGGCAAAAGGCACGGGGCCTTTCATCCGAGGAAAGACAGCATTGAAGAAGGGGGAAAAATCATAGTAAAAACAGGGCACCGTTAACATATCAACAAGAGGACACCGTGGACGGGAAATTTCAAAGGCCAGAGAACCAACATAAGGAAGACCGAGAGCCAAAACACGACATGGAATCCACTCGGCACAGTGCACCACACTGCAGGAAAGATCTGCGGCTTGGGATGCAAAGCCTTAGCCGAGACGAAGGACGCCCAAAAGAATCCAGGAAACCGAGCAAAGCGACCACCGATAAACCGTACCTGGTGTCTGGCGCCAAGAACCGAGCTCCAACGCAGTGTCGTGGACAGTCACGGGCAGCGTTTCTAGCGACAGTTTGAACAATCGGTGTCTTGCGCAGGTCGGTACGCAGGCAAGGTGTAAGCAAGCAGGCATGTGTGTGGTGTCACCGCGTGTCTAAGCCGCCTGGCTGGCTGTTCTCTCCCGAACCTTACAGCAGCTGCCCAAGGAGTGGCTGGGTGCAATCTCGGAGACCTGGCGAAAGTGGTGCGTTCCAAGAACGCCGGCGTAAATGCTCTTGGCCCGCACCGATTCCACAGTAGCCCTGAGCAGCATCGACTGGTATGTTGTCACCACGGCAGAAAACCTCTCCAATCAACATTCCAGCCGTTCCTTGTCACTTTCACAAGGAAATTACCTACGACTTAATGTTTGCCGATGAGAGGCTTGCCAGCAAAATCAACCGAATGTCTTCGAATTGTCAGCCTGCGTGATTTGGCATTGGGCATCCAAGGGAGTCTTACAATTATGCCAAAAGCAGTCCAGCACTGGATGCTTCTGCAGTTCCGTTGCAAAATATTTTGGGCATCTTTTGCGATGCCCGGGTCTCAAAGCCTTTTTCAATGCATGTGAGAGCTTGGTGCATCCTGCCGATTTCGGGCCCAGGACACGTGCTGGGCCATCAAGATCACATGTGCCCGGCAGGCAAAGCATGGCACATCATGCCTGCCGTGTCATCTTTCAACTTGGTGCTGGAGGTTCTTGCCGGCAGTGCCGGTGATCGTGATGTTTACGGCGCACAGCAGCACAGCCGGCTCTTGTCCGTTCAGCTTTGACGAGAAAAAGCGCCACTGCTCCAACGCTGTCCAGAGCAGAGTGGTGATTTCAATGCTGTCATGGTCTTGACAGTTTGCTGCTGCCCGTTTTCAGACTCGCTCCGGACGGAGATTGCGACCCTTACCGGCGAAAGCCTCCCAGAAGTCACCGACGTTTCAAGCTCGTGTCTCAGATCAGGGGCCACCGAGTTAGAAGACTCGAAGGTTCACGATGGGTCGACACTGCATCCTGCCGTTTCAGGCGTCGCATCTCTGGCCAGGTCGCGAGAGCTCTACTTGGAGGCCTCACTAAGCGAAAAACCTCCCCACCGCCAGTGCGTTTTCTGCAAGAGTGGGCAGGGTGACCTTACCACCGAAAACTTAGCCTCTACCTCGGGCCGCGGTCAATGCAGAAGATTTTGTTTTACACTTGAACTGCTGAGGCAGAGGTTGTCTTCCGAACCCAGCTATTGGGTGAGCTGTTGGCTGACCTGCAGGTGCAGATAGTCTCAAGACTCAGCTCTTTCAGCATCTGTTGCTGCGCTAGACTTGCTGCAGGCCTGTCGTCTGATTGCTAAGAAGTTCTGCTGCACCGATCTTCGTTTAGAGCTCTCCGACAAGGCTGGTTCTGAGGGGCGCGCAGGTTAAACAGGGGTGTCCTAAGTCGTGATCCTTCGCGGTGATCCGCTTCCGCCCGCCCCAACGGGCCGGGCTCTTCCTCCAGCAGGGAGGGCTGGAAAGACTCGCTCTCGCTCTCTCTCTCGCTCTCTCTGCGTCTCTCGCCCTCCTTTATTATCTCGCTCTCTCTTGCAGTTAGCTTCAGGGGCTAGAATCCTCAAGACGGCCCGTGTTCTCGGAACGCCTATACGTGTCCTCTTGCCGTCGGCGAGATGGCAGGCCACGAGTGAGGCAAAGGATATCATAGAAGAAATAGCGAAAGAGTCAGCTGCCCAGATGGTCAAAGCAGATCGGTGGAGCTGGAGAGAGGAGATGAGTTTGGAATCTCGAGATGATTTTTGGAGACTTCCGAGGTTTGGCTTCGTCGCCTATGCAGCAAGGCCACCTTTCCTCCATCGCGCTGACTTGGCCTAAGAACGTGAGCATTGCAGGAGAGGCGGCAAAGGTGCTTACAAGGGTAAAAGTGTCGTCCCAAGCTTGCCCTGCTGTGATCAAATTGTGGCACTATATCTGGAACATGTTCTTGTCGTCTACTGCTCGTAGCCATTGCAAGGTACTGCGCAAGCGGAGCCGGCTGATGAGAAAGTTCAGGCGCACAGAGCCGAAGCCGCGAGAGACATCGTATAATTGGCACAGTCTGACATCTTCCAGGCCTTGGACGAAATTGCGGGCAAGATTGAAGCGGACACCCAGCTTGCATTTGCAAGATGCGAGATCACACTCCTGCAACATGTCAGCTTGTGGCAATGATCTGAGGATGCTTCCCTTAGCAGCAAGAGGCTGGAGACATGATTTTGGAAAGCTGAGTGGCGGGCACTTCAACGCAGGTGTGATCACCTGCTCTACCCGTACTGGAACTTGACTCCCGACCAGGAGCACCGCTGCTATGCTCACGTCCAAGCACCGCTGCAGTGCTCTTCCACTTGTAGGAGAAGTCCGTGCATCAGATCATGGAAGTCTTCAATCAGGAGTACTCCGTCAGGTTTGGGTGCTGCCCTCTTGTGAAGATGGTTGATGCAATGCGACGTGACATGCGGAGGCGGAAAGTTTTAACACGGCGCTTGGACGTGACAATTCAGGCGCGGACTGCTGTCCAAAGGCGGTGCATGAGGGCGGTGAAGGCAGTTAGCTCCGCGAGGCCTTTCTTTGGTCGCCGAAGGCGGACTCCTACATGGAGCAGATCTCCCAGGCACAATGTCCTTGCAGCGTTCCTCCGCTGTGAGCTGTTCTGTGCATCTAAAGGCTCAATCAAGCATTTTGTTTGAGGCTACTCATGCTTAGCTGCAGATGCAGTATACGTCCATATTGACATAAGTTGGCTCTGCTGCAGGCCATTTCAGCCGTCATGGATTGGCGCGACCACCTTAGCTCGGCGAGCATCGGGCAAGCGACTCAGAACATGACATTCTGTATACTCGGGTACCCTTGGGATTGAGCTTAGGAGCTGGCATATGTTGGCGACGGATGAAAAGACGGTACAAGAGCCTCCGAAGGTCGACGACAGAAGCTGGAAGCTGCCTACGGCCGAGCAAGTACGATGCATCCTGGCCAGATTTCTTCCATCACGGCCTTGAAGTCGGTTGCCACGGGCTCAGACGCATCATCCTTCTGAAAAGCACAGCATGGCACACAGCTGATGTCAGGTAAAGACCATCATCATTGGTGCAGTTCCTGACAGAGGTGGTGTGCCAGAAGGCACGGGGTACCGTGCTCTCGCAAGCGCAAGGCTGCAATGCTTTTATTCCATGCCTATGACATGGCACAGGATATACGGTTGAGGACATTGCGAAGGATATCGTCAAAGCCAACGTAGCCTTGACGAAGAAGGATCAAGGTCGGCCACTGATGCATCAGGCTTTCCTCACTCCTGCTCCGTTTTCCTGAGGTGGAGGTGGCAAAGGCGCATCAGCAAGAGCCCCAAAGGAAGGCTGTCATGAACCTTAGCGAACGTGTTGGAGACGTCTGTTTCCCTCCAAGGCCCAGACAGCAGCAGCCATGTCTGCAAAGAGATGGGTTGGAAAGGGCATGGGTAGGGCGCTCAGAGGTACCCCGGTACTCAGGCTCTGGCATTCTGTGGCTCTGCAGTTTTCTGGATGTTCGCTCTGGTCAGGTTCAGGAGATGCGCGAGACAGTCCCAGAGGCCTGACGCTCTAAGCTTCTTGATGGGCCTTGCTGAGCAGCAGAACACATCGTCACCAAGTCCAGCAGCAACAGCGCCCGCAGAAGAACAGTAACAAGAAGCACAGTGTGCATGCTGCTGCAGGGGAGAAAGGCGGAGGTGGCGGTGGCTACTACGGTGGCAAAGGCTCGGCCTCAGTGGCAGATGGCCATACACTCCACGCAGCCAATTGCTTTCAGGCAAAGGTGGCGATGGTGGTGGCGGGCACGCAGAGCGGCAGTTATTGTGTCAAGGGCGGTCGTCGGAACTCTGCTCCATGTGCAGCTGGCAGGTACTATGGGAAGGGCGGCGGTGGCGGTGGGGGCTACTACTCCCAAGGCCTCCGCAGCATCACGGTTGACCTGGCAGTGTACGAAGCTGTTTACCAAGGCAAAGGAGGCGATGGAGGAGGCCCGGACGCAGCCTGGACATGAGATGGAGTTTAAAGTAGCATTTACTGGCAACCTCTGGTCTCTGGTGGATGCGAGGCGGCTACTACTCCCAAAAAGGGGGTGGCGGCGGCGGGTACTACTCACAAGGCGGTGGTGGAGGCTGCATAGCTGGAGGCCTCCTAGGCAGGTGTAGACGCTGTGAGATTTCGAAGCAGGAGGTGGCTACTACTCCAAGGGAGGAGGAGACGGCGGAGGCGGCGGTGGTTACTACGCGCAGGGCGGAGGAGGAGGCATTGATGTGGTGTTTGGTTAAGAAGCCACATTCATTTGCGACTCATGATGGTAAGTGCGAGGTGGTTTCTATGCCCAAGGCGGTGGAGGAGGCGGTGCGTCCCTCAGTCCACTCTGATGCTCTTACTTAGTGCACAGTACAGTCGGTCAAACTTCGCATCGCAGCGACCAGGAGGTTACTACGCACAAGGAGGTGGTGGAGGCCGCGGTGCAGCGTGAGGAAAGTACTGCAGACGTTACTTGCTGTGCCCCTGCAGGAGGATACTATGGTGGCAAGGGCGACAAGGGTGGCGGAGGCCTGGAGGGCGACTTCTAGCCCGTTGGCGGTACGGTGTGCGCATATGGGCCTTTGGCTTTGCGAACTCCGACGAAAACCATCTCGAGCGACACGAACAGTTACACTTTTATCTCAACCTTTCGGCGCTCAGCAGGAATGGGTTACCAGCCATACGTGCACTCAGCGTCATTCGCTTTACAGGAACGAGCCTGCCGTTCAGTCTTTCATGATCTTTGGAACTCATGAACTCTAAAGTGCGGGTATGTAAAGCAGCCGCAGTGATGCGATGGTCCCGCTCGCACATGTGACGCACAGTAAAGGGTCAGAGATCAACTGCTGACTACTGCATTGAAAAGGCCTGTCTCAGCTCTGGTATGGGCATACATCGCGGAAGGAGCAATATCAGTAGCGAATGAAACTTTTGCGTAACCAGACACAGCTGGGTACTGCGAAACAGCTGAATGAAGCCCACACTCACTGTTCACTAGCCTTTGCTGTCCAAGAGGCATCGAGATTAGCAACAAGACGTGAGAAGCTGGTACCTACCTGGTTCATCATGGTTCAAGCAGTTCAAGCCTCTTCGCGTAAGATCAGCAATCCGGGCCCCTTCGCGGATTGTCGCCCCAGCTTTCAATATCTCGACTGAAGAGAACATGGGCACATGATTGCACCTGGATGCGCACTGTGCAGGTTTTGGCGGCAGGCAGTCGGACAGACCGCCAACTTCAAAAGGTTGGACCAAAGGTGGATGGGGCTGAGGGCGATTGTACAAAGCAACCTCGTTTTGCCGAACAGAAATGTCGTACCTCAGTTCGATGCTGCAACAAAAGCTGTCAGACTCGGCAAGACTGGTCATCGCACCAAGCCCAGGACAGGAAATCAAAAGGAAGCCCGAATCCGAATAGATCAGTTGAGCATTCTGCCGGGTTTGAGAAGGCCCGAATCTGGTACGTGTTTGCCAGCGCCATTTCGGCTCATTGTTTCTTTTTACCTGAAAGCTCTCTTCAAGATGAGCGCCATGGAGCTTGTTCGTGACATGTTCTGTGCGTGCTCGTTTGATGATTTCGATATTGCTCTGATCATGGTATGCCTTTGTCTGCACACGGTCTCATATGCCTTCGCTCGTGACGCAGTTCCAGGCATTCTACGATCACATGCGGGACGGGGAAGAGGCGTGGGTTACCTGTTTCTGGATGACTGAAGCTTCGGCTTTCCTGATGTAGCGCAACACTGAATGAGGCGCCCGTACGACGCTTTGAAAGCAGACCCATGAAGAACTCAGAACACAGAGGGATCTCTTTCTTCAGTTGGCCACATTGGGCATTGCGATGCCACTCTCATGTCATTGATGTTCCGCTTGTTCTGGGCCGATGCGTGAGTATACACTCTCTCGGTCTGCATTGAGGTATAGATTGAGACGTTGGTGTCGGAGTCCTCCGAGTTCGGGTCGGGGTCTGGTGACCAACTCCGGGTTTCGACGCGTTGACGTAGCAGCGCGATCACCATGAATTATGAAATTTTTGATCAAGTGTTGGACTCCAGACTCGTGTCTTCGTCATCATAGTCCGGACAGGAGTGGGCGTCGAAATAGCTGTTATAACGCACTGCCACAAGAAATCAGGATGCTTTGCGTGGGAACCAAGACCACCCAACAAATGTGAGCGCACGTGCGGGTCTCCTCGCGAGCGATGAGTCCTCAGGGGTGAAGTACCGAATGTTACACATTCCGGGCATTGTCGACTTCACGTATCACTTGCATGTTTCCATGTCTGTGCTCAAGGCTCTAGCATAGCAGAGTATCCAGACTACAGCCGACTGCCTGTAGAAAAGGGACACTTGCGTGCTTGTGTTCCTGTACGCCTTGCGAGGGAATACACGCCCAAGTT